GGTAAAATCTCATGGAGAGGTTTACATAGTTCTTGATTATTCCTGAGAGTAATGTGCTTATAACTACAGTGGCAGATAGGTCTCATTTTATTTCTTTATTTTTTGTTTTAATTTCTCTTTAAATATAACATTATAAAAGCTAACTAGGATACATTCTCATTATTTTTTCCATCATTTTCAAAAATGATTTTTGCATTGTTAAATTTCCAATGCTACTGTAATACCACTTTTAGCCAGACAGAGAGTCAGTCAGTAATTTTTTTTAAAGTAATAAAGATTAAGTTGTACTTCAGCTTATTTTTAGGATACATCATGACAAGATGCAGAATTTCTATAATCAGGAAATCAATATTCATAATTTTTATTCAGATGGTATCACATAAAACCAATTCTATTTGAAAACTTTCCTGAACACTAATATGTATATTTTTATTTATACTAAGTAAAATTTTTTCTCATATATTTAAAATTATATATAGAGAGAATTATATATAAACCATTACAATATACTTGCACCAGTGTGGATATTCAAATGTTTATATACATATTACGAGTTTATTATAACACAAAATGTAAAAGTGGCCAATACAGTTTAAGACAACTAATATATTATTTTCAAGTGTACTACTTTTTGGGTAACATGGAGTCTCAAGTATTGAATTGTGGATTAAACAGATTAGTAAAGACTTCCAAAGCTAAAACAATTTGATTAAAAAATGAACTGATTCTCCTTACACAATAGGAATATTTCAGAAATGTTTTTGACTCATTTTTAAAAATGTTAGGTTATTTTTCTGAGATATTTCTTTGATCAGTTGAGGAAAACTAGACTACTATGAATGTTTAGGTCAGCTGGAAGTAGACCTTGTTCTTGTCTTTCTTCAGGAGATTAAAGATTTGCCCTAGAAAAGATGGCGGACTCCAGTACCCAACATAAATGTTCACATATACATATGTGCTTACACTGTATTCTCCCCCATCTCTGCTGGCACAAAAGTAGGATAGGTTATTAGGTTACATTAGCAATGCATGGCAGTTTCTCTAACACTAAAACATGTACATTGAAACAAATTTCTGGATTATTTTACGTGCCTAAAATTGTTTCCCCAGTTGCTATTTGGTATATTAACAGATAGTTAACCTGAGTATAATTACTTAATTTTTTATGAACTGTAATCAGTCTTCAGGAAACTCATTATTTTATCTCTATTTGTAGATGAATGTAATGCCAACCAAGAAAGAGGGCATCTTTGACCTATAGTGGATTTCTTATAATTGAGGTGTAGGTTATGAAAAGATAGAATACTGAAGGTCAGAGTAGCAGGAAATGAAAGATAGCATGTGACTGGAAGTAATGATATTTTGATGTAACTTATTATGCAGCATAGTCAGAGAAATATTAAAAATTAATTGTTGTGCATAAGTGGATATACCAAGTAGCTAATGGAATGTAGCTTCCGTGCCCCTCACTTAGACATGCCCCTTCCAAGGTCCTGTACCTAATGTTGCATTAGGAAATGTGTATTAATTTTCTTGAAGAAGATCAGAAAAATTGTATACATTTCTGGCCCTACAAATTCTGCATCTTTCCCTGTGAGTATGGTAAAATAAACTTCCATTACTTTTTCTAGTAGAAATAAACATGGGCCATTTATAGAATACATTTTTAAATAATAAAGTTTTGAGTTAATTGAAGTATCTATATATAATTATAAATGGCTTTCTCATAAGATACATTTTGCGATATATAAGGAGAGAGTTCACTTTTGACATATTTTATGATTCAGTTCTGAATGATAGAAAAACAACAAATAGGGTGTTAATTGTAATTCTTTTTCTTAGGAAAGAAATATAGTGATATTTGGGATTTTAATGCAAATGAGTAAAAGACTGATTTTCTTTCTTCATTTTACCCAACACGATATGCTGTATGTTAGTGCTGATAATTTTTACAGAGTCACATTTTACTTTGTTAACAATTCAAAGTCAGGAATTAAAGCATAACATTGTGTAACTGGCGAGAAACTCGTGGCAGATATAGAGTAGATAATGAGACATCTTGACAGCTTCTGTTTACATAATTTATATGTAAGGTAAAAATTTATTACCCATACGTGTATTTTAGGTTACTGTTCTCATAAACAGTATACCTAAAAGTGTAACCTCTAGGTTAGTCTTAGTACTGTTCTTAAAAAAGTTATTTTAACAGCCAAGTTTTAAAGATAATCCTTACTTTTGTTGCATTTTCAAATTAGTTGGTGTCTAAAAATAAATGCTCGGTCTATTTTTAGATTCACTACAAATTCACAAAGGTGTAAATCCTGGTCTCACAGAAAGTTCCCCAGGTTTCCATGTTGTGAGATATTGTCCTTTATAACCTCTTAAGGATATTAGCTTAATCTTTTTGAACCATTTCTGTTTTTTCTTTTAAATGAATCAATGATTTCTTTGTTTTTTTGGTCATATTTTGACTTGATAGCCTTGAGATGGGAGTGAGTCTTAATTTAAATTTATACAATGACCCTAGATATCCTTAGTGTGAAACTGCCATTTGGTTTACTTCCTTGGGAGTCCTCACCTCTCTTCTCTTTGTTCCCACTGGCCTTAAAATATCACTGGGAGATGGTTATCTCAAGTAGTTATCTATTACATGCATGTATTTCAACTACTTGGATCCAGGGTACCTTTATGGTATCAGTAACAGCCTTAACAGTTTTATAGATAAAAATTCTCTCAAGAAAACTGTGGAGCGGTAGGCATCTGAGAGACATGCAGATGGATGCACTGGTTTGAAAGTGAACATACTTGTTTTTCCTCCCACAGTAACTTACACTACTGACTTTTTTTAAAGTATGACTTTCAAGCGAATTAATTTATTGGTTAGAAGACTTGTTTGCTGAGTCCTTCCTTATTACCTCTTGAAGTCTTTAAAGGTCATGCTGAAAGCTAGAGAAACAAACAAGAAAGACTGAATCACAGTTATATCTTTTGCAGAAGTGACTGTATTTTGAGCACCTTGGGTGACAATGTACTTTGCACAGAATCTTATGGGAAAACATATTAGGCCTTTCGATGTTACATCTGGGTAATTGGATGGGTTGGGAGGGATTTGACTTAGATGATGACTGAAGATAGACCTCTCTTACTCCTACTAGGTTAAGTCTTCAGTACATCCTCAGAAGCTCATTTGTATCACACCTGGAGGCAATGCAATGTGGTTCCTGGTTCTAGGTTTGAACTGTCTTATTTCAAAAGATTTTGGAATTATTTTTTCCCTAGAATTTCTCCTTCATTCCAAATTTCCATTTACTGACTAATGTAATATAAAGAAAATTATCTTAAAGTAAAATAATACCCTGGGGAAATAAAACAGATTGTTTCAAATGAATGTATGCTTTTAACAGAATATGAGTGATCTATATTAAACTACTGTTGTTTTAATGATTTCAAACACTACAATATAGCACTTTTTAATTGCTCTGGAAGCAAAAATAAAAAAAAAAGACCCCAATATATATCTATGGTTATCACATAAACCACAAGAATCCTCTAAAAATTTTCAGTAGTCTTGGATTTGATTTTTTTTTTTTTTTTGATCCTCTCCCTGGAGAAAATTTTTACTTAGTAGTTTTCCCTTGTGAATAGTATTACCAATGCTATAAATCTGGAACTAAACTGTGGATACTTACATCTTGAAAACCGGATTCTTCTTTTGACATTATTCATGTACAGAGAGTGACATATGACTTTACTCTTTTAGGATATTTGGGGCCAATGTTATTTTGAACATAGGCGTGGGCCTCAAGTTTCTATTTCTTTGTAGATGTGTTGTAATGTAATAGTAATGAGTTTTCAGTGGTACCCCTCAACATTTTGAGAACTTTGCAAACATAAGCAATAGATGTGTTAAGGATGTGTTAAGAGATCATTGCTTAGTACCATAAAATATAGAGTCTTCTCTCTGTGCCAAATTGGTGAACAGACATGTAGTTGTGTTTACTGATGCTACATGTTGGCTACCTGTGTTTTTATAATAAGCACAAGTCAGAAAAAGGCAAGACAAATGGCCTTTTGTACTGAATGCTTGACAAACTTAATTTGTCCTACTTTTCTGACAAATATTACACTCCAGATTTCATAGACTCTTGTTTTTTTTGGTTTTGTTTTGTTTTGTTTTTTACTTATTGTAGAGTGGATTAGATGGTAGTGATGCACTGGTAGAGATGGTGTTTAGTTATTGACTCAGAATTCATTTCATGATGAATTTTTTGTGTCTTTTTATTGTATGTGTATCTGTATTTACTTTATATAAAAATGGATTTAGTGAGCTTTGTGTTAGATCTACCTAGTAACAGTGACTTTTTTTTTCAATTATCAAGGGATAGCAAATATGTGTGTTGGTATGTTCATATTAATATATTATTAGGTTCTGTATATTATTGTGTTTAAATGCTTCTGACATTCTATATGGCAAGCATCAATAATTTGCACCACGGAATCAGGTTAGACCAGTGGAACAAATGGTAGTCAGAATCCTCTGGAGGGTTGTGCTGGCAGTCACCTCTTTGATCTATGTTTCAGTTGTAATTTATAGACCAGCTCTAACCCCTACCGTGAATCTGGAATGCATTTGTCATGACCTTGTACCATTCCCCTAACTGAGGGGCAGGGGGAACAGTGTTTGGCCTGGTCGTCTAAAATATAGGAACAGAGAAGTCCATCTGAGGAAGAATGAGCCTCAGTATCCTCAATGGTCTTCATCTGTGGTGGGGTTTCTTCACTCTGACAGTATGATGATAAAACTCGGTAAAGGGGTCTGTGTGTATTTTGTACAAATTCTACACAATGTCTTACATTGCTAAATTCTTAAGTAGCAAAATTCCTTTTCTGTGTCTACATTCCAACCATATTAGGAGTACTGATTTATTTAGATATTTAACTCTGAAAATATAAATGGTGCAAAGGGACTTTCATGTGTGGATTGTGTTATGTTTCTTAAGGTTCTCTGGCACTGATGCCTATACCATCATGTGATATGTGAAATAAAATGGATTTTTCTACAGTTTAATGGTTTCCCTCTGGGGAGAGTTCTGGTACAGCAATCACACTGCCAGATGGTGTTTATGGGCTCTTTGTGTGAATGGTAAGATACTATGAAATAAGAGTGCTTTCATCTGATGGAAAGTCTTGACACATGTGTTTTTGTATAGAATAAATTTTCGTGCAATATGATGTCACTCAATTTTGCAATGAATTTAATTTCATTTGTATTTATGTATCTGCATACCCGTCATGCTTCTAGTTGCTTCAAGCTTTGTATATGTATTTTTGTCCATATTTTTTACTTGAAAATATTTTAAATGGAAATAAAATAAACATTTGATAGTTTACATAAGAAAAGTCATGTTTTGCTTTTTTTTTTTAAGCAATATACATCCCAACAAATTGAAGGCTTTGGTTTTGATGATTGGATTTATCTATCATTGATTCTGTGAATTCGTTGGTGTATTCCCCTTGGCATCAATTCCCTATATTAAAAACTCAAAGTGGTAGCAAACACTACAGTAAAGACTGTAGACACTCTTCTCCCTCATGGCTTATGTTCATCTGTGCTCTGGTCTGAAATATCTACCAACTTCTCTCTTCTATTGTCTCCTGTCTTAGTTCAGTCTTCTTTTTTCTTGCCTCAACAGAAGTCTCATGTCTTGTCTATCTCTATTTCAGCCTTCACATGTTTCCCCAGAATGTTCTTTCTGAAACACAAATATAGTAAAAGTCTTCGATGGCTTTACATTTACTTATTTATTTTTTTGGATGGATAAATCCAAACTCCTCTGCATAACACAGTGCTTTGAATAATCTGCTGTCCTTCTTTCTCCAGGTACTTCTACATTCTCTGCAGCCATATAAAATGTTTTTTTTTTTCCAGTAGTTTAACAATAACAACAAAGAAGATGCTATTATTTCATTTGACACACTGTGGATTCCAGGAATTACATTTTCCTCACCCATTCCTATCATCTACTTTCCACATAGCGAATTTCTACCCAGCATTCAAGACTGAGTTCAAAAGTCACCTCTTCCAGAAACCTTCCCCAAGATTGATCCCTAAATACCTTCACCATCTTAGGTGCACCTTTTCTGTAGAACTCATCACACCTTTGAAATTGCTGTACTTGACTCCCTTCTCTGCCTAGATTTGAAATTGTGTGTGTGTGCGTGTGTGTGTGTGTGCCTCTTACTGACTAAAGCATAGTAGGTACTCAATGTTTATTAAATTAATATATTCAATGAATAAATGAATGGTTTGTATTCATTAGGTTTCATGATAAGTTTTTCTTAGATGCAGTTTTTAGTACCTCTAAATTTAAGCAATCCATTAGATTCTATGGAAAGAATATTTCCGTGGAATATCTTAACTTCAGAATGTAAGAAAACTGGGGAGTTTCAGTCTCTGCCCTCCCACCCTCTCCCCTCTCATTCTCTCTTTTTCCTTCACTTCCATTGCCCCCCATCCCCAGTTCATGTCACTAAGTGGGTCCTGATAGAGGAAATGAACAAATGACCTACTATGAACTTTTCCTGTGAAAAGACATTTAGGTTTTTATATTTTCAATAAGGTATCATTTTCATAATAATTTGAAAAAAATGCTCAGAAATGTAGAGTAGAAGGAACCTAACGTTTTGATGACCAAAACTCTCTTTGAAGTAGACATAGGAGATTGAGTAGCACTTTTCCCTGGTGAAATGCTTTGGGAGAACAACAAAAAAGTAAACTAATAACGTTGGCACCTGTTAAATTTAAACTATTTTCAAAAGAAATATAAACCATGTCATATGTAGATATACTTATCTTAAAGTTAATGAATGTGACTAGAAATGTGTTTAATAAAAATATACAGAAAAACTTAGATAATACATAATGGCTGATAATTTGCTTTTAAACTATCATTAGGTTCTTAACATGCTAGTTTAGGTTTACAAAAACTTTTGCTGCTAAACTACCTCTAATAATTTTCTACTTGAATCTTTAGACTATGTCTATGAAGATTTGAGATCATTATATATGCTGGGATTGGGTGGGTGGACCATGGATAACTACTGTTGCTTTTGCCTCCACATGCCCTAAAAATTGTATTTGCAGACTTCCTGGAGATCTGACTTTGAAGGTCAGGTCTTTATAGCCATCTTATTGTTTTTATAGTCTTAAGCTTAAGAACACCTGGTCACCAGCAGGCATGGGCTAATTCTTTCAAAAACCGTTTGATGTTTGAAAGAATTTGGAAATAAAAATGTAATTAGGATTCAATACCTTTTAAAACTTTAGCTTTGAAGATTTATTAATCTCTGAAAGATGTGAAACAGGGTTTCAAAGTTGTTAATTCAGGTTAAATACTACAAAAATTGAAATACCCTCCAGCTATAATAAAATAACGAAGTATAAATGAGGCTAACCCTAAGAAAAATGAGAGCAAGCTAGTTATTTTCCTCTCATTTTATTTTTTCTTAAATATAGGAGAAACTAATTTTACTTTTGTCATAATAATTAACATTGTGATTATATACCTGAATGTTCTTTTATCATCATGCATTCCATTTCCTAAAATCTAAAGACACCATAAAAATTTCTTTCATGTTCTGAATTCTGCCTTAAACTTATGTTTACTTCTTATTCTCCCATTGTTATGTTCCTTTCAGAATTTGTTACTTAAAAGAAGTAAAGTCAAAGTTTTAAGTACCTCCCCAGTGCTAAGCCATATGATAGGTGCTAGAGATACAAAACGGTTAACAGTTTGTATTGCCTCTGCTTCATGAAGCTGGGGGGTACAAATATTTTTTCTCCTAGTCATTCAAATGTATCATTAAAATTAGAGTCTCAGGTGCTATAAAACAGTATACCCAGACGTGATCTAGTCCTAGGATGTTGGGGAAGGCTTTCCTAGAGATGTAGTATGAATTGATATTGAAGGATGGGTAGGCATTAATCTGGTAAAGTGGAGCCGGGTTGAGGAGTGTTACAGGCAAAACAGTGTGATAAAGGCCCTGAGCCAGAAAAAGTAGGGCTTAAGGAAATAAATGCAGGACCAGTGGAACCAGAGCATGGGGACACCATATGTAATGTACCTCTAGAGAGGAGCAATTGTAGAGGACTTATTAATGTTCAAGACATTAGTTTTTACCCAGTGTTATGGAGATGGCATAGACAAATGAAATTCAGACATAATATGTACATTGAACTTTATCAAAATTTCAAATCTTACCCTCTGCTAAAATCTCTGAATAGAATAATTTCAAATAGTAAAAAACAATTTCCATTTTACTTCTTTTTTTAAATTATTGTTATATTTTATCTAATCAGTTTACATTGCCAAAAGTGTTAGTAAACGGCAATAAGCTCAAGGCATATATTTTGAAAAGGAAAGTAACTGCAAGAATTCTATAATCAACAAATGGAAATCTTTTTTTCCAGAAATTTTACTCTTGTCTCTCCTTAGCATGTTTTCCCTCCTCTTTTTCAAATTAAATTACATCTGACCTACACTGTTGAGTGCTCACCAACATTCATCTCAAGGCCAATTTGTAATTTCTTTTTTTTTTTAAGAAATATTTTTCTGGTGCTATAATTTTTTAATCTAATTGTAACTTCCAAAATATTTTTCCCTAAGTGAAAACATTAAGCAAAAACTACTTTGCATGACATATTATTAAACAGAGACATTATCTTAGAAGAAAAGAAAATCTTCATTTGACTATAATGTTTTAATATGAAAAATGTGAGTACAGTAAAATTATTTGAAATTTTTTCTGGTTTTGCAGAAATAGAATGAATTTTTAGTTATTTCTACTCTTCATAATTCACAATGGATGAAAAGTGACTCTTCTAGCAAGATAACATTTGTTTAAGGAATTAGAGAAATAAAGAAAAATTATTTGAGATTATTTAAAGAACACTTTCTTGGAAAACAGGGAATTATCTGGTACAGTTCCCCCCCACCCAGCTTTATTAAGATATAATTGACAAATAATATTGTGTAAGTTTAATATATATAATGTGATGATTTGATATATGTAGATATTGTGAAAATGATTACCACATTAAGATTAGTTATCACATCCATCACCTCACATAGTTACCACTTTTTTTGTGGCAATAACATTTAAGATTTACTCTCTTAGCAAATTTCAAGTACACATTTTCATCATCCATTCATCTGCCATTGGACACTTAGGCTGTTTTTATATCTTAGCAATATAAATAATGGTGTAATGAACAAGGCTGTATAGATATGTCTTTGAGATTCTGATTTCATCTCCTTTGGATATATATCCAGAAGTGGGATTGCTGGGTTATATTGTAATTCTATTTTCTTTTTTTTTTTGAGGAATCCCCAAACTGTTTTCTATAGCGACCAATGTACATCCCTACCAACAGTGTGTAAGGACACCCTTTCTCCACATTCTCATCAACATTTGTTATTTCTTGTCTTTTTGGTACTAGTCATTCTAACAGGTATGGGGTGGTATTTCTTTGTGGTTTTGATTTGAATTTCCCTGATGATTAGTGATATTGAACACATTTGCATGTACCTGTTGGCTATTTATATATATATATATATA